AGTAGGCACAGCATGGAATTAATACTAGTGATTAACTGGTGACTTCAAAACTCCTTTTAAAACTACTTCCTAGATGTTCCAGGGCACAACTGAGCCTTTTTCTGTTCCAATGTAACAAAGATAAATGAGACCCTAGAGATCCTCTTGGTCTCGACAGATAAAGAACCCCTTAAATTTACAACATATGGTTTCAAAATGTTTAGCTTAAACCCCCAAATGTATCTTTACTCATCATTATTTATTTCCAATGTTAGCTTTTGGGTTAGTGTTTCTTCTTTACAATCCTGATACGCTGTGAAGATAAAGGGCTGTTTTTTAGAATCACGATGGTATGTGGTGCGCTCCAAATAATTCAGCACACTGAGAGCACTCGCAAGTCACTCAGATGTGATGCGATGAAAGCACAGTACCAGCAGTGGAGTACCTACTTCTGTTCCTGTCAAGTTTTATATACAGAACATGACTTCAGTGTACATCTGCCACATGTGTCAAACCGCCCCTGGGGTATCAGAAAGACGTACGGTGCTGAGTATGACCCAACCCTGATAGAAGTGTAAAGAAAGACAGACACACATTTTTTCCTTTCATTTTTCTTTCTACTCTGTAATTTTACAGCTTAATCTTTCATTTAAAGAGCGAAAGGGCAAAATGTTATAGATTTGTTATATCTAGGTAGTAGGTACAAGAATCTCTACTATACCACTCATTTTTTTGTGTGTATGTAGGAAATATTTCTAATTTTAACCAATGATAATTAAAAACCAAGGTTTCTTGTTCAGGTGGTCTTATTCTTTAAGGACAAACATGAAAAGAATGACTTTAAAAAACAAAAGGAAATAAAGAAACAGAGATTTAGGCAAATTTCTGAATACCTTGAAGCACACCGAAATATGCAGACAAAGCAAAACTAACAAATTCCAAGAGAAGGGACTCTACAGTTTCAAAAACTTGTTAGCCAAGAGCAGTACAAAACCTTGTTTAGCTCCTGCTTCAAACTACTGGGGAAAAAAAGATGATGAAGTAATCACATATTTGATATTAAAATGATAGTATTTTAATTGTGTTTTTTAAAAGGAGTCCTTATCTCTTAAAAACACATCCTGAAATATTTATAGATAGAATAACATGTCTGAGGTTTGGTTAAAACTAAGGAGGGCAGAGGAATAATAGTGGCCATATTAACTGCTAAAGCTGATTGATAAATACATAAAAATTCATCTACCACATTCCAGTTATGGATATATTTATAGCTTCCCATAATAAGGAGTTAAAAAAAAACCTGAACTATAGAAAAGTGCCACCCACAACACCCAGGAGAGAGGAGCAGAGAGCAGAGGCCAGAGGCAGGCAGCGCCCCCAGCACAGCCTCAGAGAGGAGCCACGGCTGGGGAGGGAGCGGCCCAGAGGCTCAAGGTGAAAGCCCTTTCTAGAAGAAAGGTTTATCCAGCATCTCCTGTCCCCACACTCACCCCATAACGGAAAGAGAGCATGTCTCTAAGGAAAACAAACATACTATCTGGGAAAAACAAAGCCTCCTAGCGCAAATGTGGGCCTACTCAGTATCGCCTCTAGAATACTCCTGGCCTAACAACCAGTACTCAAACCATTCACAGAAATGTCAAAGCAACCCGCCAGCTGACCTTCTATGATCAGAGCCTCCAGTAAGTTTTCTAAGTTCCTCATCCTTAACTATCGATGGACAAGCAAGAATTACTAGACATGTGGAAAAAAGCTAACATGATAGAGAAAGACAAGAGAAACAGTGCCCCTTGAGGAAACAGATTACCTGGAGTACAGAAGACAATGATTTTACATCCATAAATTAAGAATAAAATACCAAGAAAAAAGCCAGAATCAACTCTTAGACATAAAAGTCAATTGCCAAAACAGAACATTCTAGAGAAGGGCCAGAAAATTTTTAAAAATCTCCTAGGATATAAAGCAAGAAAACAAAGATTAAAAAATAGAAAAGTCAAACACTCGGGGAATTCAGAGATATGAATTCAGAATACAAATTCAGAAAAACGAAATAACACACATTTCAGGAGGAGAGAACAGGAGAAACGTGAAGGAATCTTCAAAAGAAAAGCAGCAGTAACTCGGAAACAGGTAACATGAATCTCCAGACTAAAACCATTCATCCGGTACACAGCAGGGTGGCCCAAACCTAAGCATACTCTGATAAAACTGAAGAACACCAACAATAAAGACAAAGTGGAAAAGCGAGAGAGGAATAATAGGTCATCTCTAAGTAACATCTCCGCTGCAGTAAAACGGACCTAACATGGCTCCCTCAATTTATCCTGCGCAGACCCTCACCGGAATGCCCTTCTCCCGCTTTTCTCCGCCTGAGCTCCTCCACGGGGCTTTCAAAACCCAGTTCAAAGCTTGGTCCTCAGGGACACTTGTCCACGCTGTGTGCCTGAACTGCTCTTGCCCTCCCTGCACCACTCATTCCACATCTGATCTGTACTACCCCATGACTTACTTCTTGAAGGGCTGCCTTCTTGAAATTTTATTGAATTTGCTATTTCTCAGAAAGTAAGGACACTGTCTTGTTTGTGGGTTTGTTTTTTAATCTTTCACAGAATCCTGCACCCAAACAACGCCAAAAAGGATCTGAAACTAGTGCTGGGATGAATCTTAACTTGATAAGTTGCTTATGTTTCATCTAATCTTGCTCTAAGTTCATTTTTAAAGTTTTATATTTATATTTACAACTAAAGTTAAAAAAAAAAAAAACTGAATGCAAGGATATTTTAGGAGAAGGAAACATTTTGGCACAGAGGTGCTGCTATCTTCCCTCAGTGGGGAAGATCTCCTGGAGAAGGAAATGGCAACCTACTCCAGTATTCTTGCCTGGAAAATCCCAAGGAAAGAGGAGCCTGGTGGGCCACAGTCTGTGGAGTCACAAAGAGTCACACACGACTGAGAAACTATGCATCTTTTTCAAAGCCCCTACATACTGCAAGCAGTATTTTCTAGTTGCAAACTTATCCTGAACAGTGATGAGCTGTGGATTTTGGTGCCTGAGATGACACAAAACGAGCCCCACAGAGGCGGGTGGGAGGTAGGAGATGTGCCAGTCCACTAAGCAGGGAAAAATTGTCTTTGACGAGTATCAATTTTAGTAGTTGCCTATTCCCAAAACAGACCAGTGCAATAACAAAACTCAACGGCAGGGTCTAAACCGTGTACATACCAGAATCAAATTCCAAAGATTCTACCACAAAGTAAAAATGTCTGTTACTGTCTCCTCTCTAACTTTTAACACCTGAGAAGAGACAAGAACCCAACTGGTTACAGGACTGCTATGAAGTAGTAGGTTTAAAAAAAGAGAAAGGGCAGAGGGGAAGGAGGGACCTGACTGACTTAAATTTTGGAAGAACGTTTACTTTCACACTGATAACTGTTTAAAAAAAAAAAAAATTTGTCCACGAATTCCCCTAGACATGAAGAAAGTCATGAGAGAAGAAAGTACAGATATGGGAATGTTTTTCTAAGTTCTAAATGCAAATCAGGTTGTGTTTCTCTTTGTCCAAGGGGCTTTAAAAAAAAAAAAAAAGGAAAGAAAGATTTGTTAAGTTTGGTGATTACTACATATCTTTTCTTTCTCAGATGTCAAACATGCAGTTGAGTTAGCAACCAAGGTAACAGAAAAGGACTTTGTTCAGGAATTAGCTTTGTACTAGCTTTCACTCACTAGAAATTCTAGGAAAAGAGGAAGGAGGTTCTTTTGAGAGTGTTTCCTTGCTGCTGGAGCTCGGACTAATTAAGCAATACTAAGAATTTCCTTTCTCAATATGTTTCAGAGAAGGTAAAAAGGTTGAGCTCTGACAAGACACCTCATTGCGAACAGCGGTCTAATAAAGTAGTCTAATAAAGCTGACAGACACCACACCCAGCCAAATGAACTGCTATCGGTTTCCATTTAAAATACGTTTCAATTCCCTTAAGGTGGCAGTTGCAAGCCTGAGAGCATACATACACATATATTCCTTCCTTCTGGACACTGATGCTTTAAAAATATTTTCAGCATCTCTTTGCAATACACTCTTCTACCAATGTGTAACTGTGCAAATATTGTGCATGCCAAATTTCAAAAGAAAACAGCAATAAACATGCCTCTTTGGGAAGAATAAACATATTTGTAGTCTAATAAAGTCTGAATGCAAATTGTTGAGGAATTATTACAAAGCTATAAAATAATGGATCTGAAAGCTTTTTAAACTGTGTCTTCCACCACTTGCTTTATAGTTCTCAATACTAGAAATGGGTGAAAATGTTTTCTTTTCTGGACATGAGCAGAAATGTAAATCTGTGGCTCTGACCCTTTATGTTCCTGCCAGGTTTGAGGAGAAGACATTATTATTTAACACATCACTTCACTTCGATTCAAAGGTTTCTGTAAAATATTATTGTAATAAGATTGTTTTAAATTAACTAATACATTTCTACTACTTTTCAGTGAAGTGCTATTACTATAATGTCATTTCTATTTTTCAGTTTTAAAGAATCACTAACACCTGCACACTGACATGTACAAACTCTTTCCATTTACCTTGACACGGAAATCTGACGGGCACTAGGTATATTCAGAATGGGAGTCAGCTTTGTCACCTAGTGAGTGGGGGTGATTTGTGCTCATCTCCAGGGGAGTGTTAAGTGTTCTGAATACTACTCACAACTCAACTGGAAATCCAGGAGGAGGGGTATTAAACAATACTCTCAGTGTTCAATGAGAGAAATTAAAACAGTATAAATATATCTGAATCTTCAGCTCTTTTCTTACCTTCAAGTAAAACTTTAGAAAGAAAAATTGTGTTTGCCTACTTCAGACTACAGGATCAACAGCTTTTGTAAGTTCAAACAGCAATATTTCAAATGGCCCATAAAATAAAAGAAATACCAGCCCCTCGACTTGCAAAACTTGATAAAATACAATAGCTTTAAAACCTCTGCTTGAGTTGAGCCTTTTATTGGTTATCGGAAATACTCACATGTGTGGGTTTTGAACTCCTGCAGGGTTGGGATTCAGAGTAAACCTTGCTGTAGATTTGAAAGGTGGATTTGCAAAATTCAACTTCAGTGCTTTGCGTTTACCTAAGAAATAACAAATAGAAAGTAAAAGTTTCAAGGACTATAAAACAGGCAGGATTCTGGGGGCATAGGAAATTCACACCAAGACGTAGGAAATTTTGCTTTAACATACATTAATATTATATTTTGAGAGGTGGCAAAGAATTTCTCAGAATTAAGAAAAAGTAAATAAAAATGATCCGAAGTTGTTACTAACCACAAATCACTCATTGTCTCCAAAAGAACAGAAAACAGTGCTCAGTGCTTTCAGTTTATATTGTTCAGAGGTGCTAAGGCTTTTGCATGTAAAAATACCACTATAAAAATCATTCTCCTCGGCAGATATATTGAAAAATACTAAAATATCAGCACCTTTCCAGTGTTACATTCTAATTCTTTAGTTTAATAAAAATCATTTCCCCTCAAATGTAATATAAACAACTGAGTGAAGAATATAAAGCATTTCACAACCATGATGCTAAAAACATCATGGAACAGTCCATTTCAAGTTAATAACACAGGTAAGCCAAACCATCATTTCTCTGGGGCAATTTATTTGGCTTGGGAAGGGAGAAATTATCAATGTTTTATGTTTTATTATTTTTTTAAAGTCCTTTAAAAGCCAGAAAATTCAGAAAAGATAAACAAAAATATATAATTATACACCTGTAAGTATATTGCAGGGTTTTAAAAACTTGTATATACACTTAAAAGTCCAATTATTCCAAAATAATCATTGTCTATTGCAGACTATTTTCTACACAGAGATTTTTTTTTTCCTCTACAATCAAAATCTGACCACAGTACTGATTTGCAACATGCTTTAGTCACAGATCCTATTTTTTTCTATGTCAATAAATCTTACAAAATCACTAGTGTAGGGGTTTACTATATGGAAATTTTGTAACAGAGTTGGGTTTTTCCACATTTTTAGTACATCTTGGTTGCATGTACATCTTGAGGATACATTTTCCAGCACTCATTTTTCACAGTGTATCATACATGTATCTACCTATTCCAACAACATCTCTCCCATCCAAACCCCTTCCCGCCTCAGTGGATTCAGAAGAGGGGTCAAAGGGCTCAGCCCACTGGGCCGGGCTTTGAGGAGCCTGGACCAAGAGCACCATGCAGGCGGGCAGGCCCCCAGGGCAGCAGCTCCGGCTCCTACGGGGCTCCAGGGGCGGCTCTCAGGGACGCGCCTTGCCACAGGAGCACAGTGGTTCCTAAGGAGCCCGCTGTCAGAAATAAGCGGAGTACAATGTGAACTTTCCGCAGAAGTTGTCCTTCTGGGTGCCTTTTTAAAAAAAATAATTTTTAATTTGATCGCAAGTAGAGAAGGATATTCAAACTATACATGCAAAAGGTATTAAAAAAGCAAACTCTATATTTACAAAAAAAAATCTTTAAAAAATTAAAGACTTGGAAAATTCTTGCAATATAAAATCAAAAACTTAACTATATAAGGACATCACACAAATCAAGAAAAAAATACAAAAAATGGCAAGGGTATGAAAAGTTAAGCAAAACTGAGAAAAAATTATGAAAGGTACTTAGTGACACCAAAAACAATTAAAACTTTTGTTCATGTGAAACTGGAAAAGTTTAGAGGTTTTATTTTTGTATACATACATTTATTCTTTTAATGATATATGGTGATCAGATGACCAGGTAAAAGAATCACTAGCAAAATACACTGTTGGTAGAAGAAAAACTGTTGGGAAGAGGTTCAGCAGCAAACAAGAAGCAGCTTTAAATGAGTAAGTTCTTTCATGTCCTGCAAACCTGTCTTTAAGGAAGGTTTAAAGGTGGAGGACCACTTGCAGGCACTGCTAGATTCTGAAATTGTTTGGGACTGCTTGCTCACTCCTTTCTGCCTTCAGTTTTCTCCCTTTTTGAATGAAAATCTCCCTAATGGTTATCCAATGCCTGACCTACCACTGTAATGTTTTTGGAAGCAGATAATTCATCATCTAGTTACCAGGTTCACAGACGGAGAAGAAATTGGTGTCGTGATGGGTCATACTTAAGAGTCTCACTCATACCTGACTGAGATGCTTCCAATGATGAGATTTGGGACTGGTGAGCTGATGATGTCTAGACAAAGTCTGGACTTGAGCTGATTTTGTAATGAGCCATGACTTCTGGGAAATGTTGAGGCAGATGAATGTATTTCGCATGTAGGACAGATGTAATTACATAGGGACCAGAGGCATATGGTAGTGGGCAGAAAAGGTGGCTCCCAAAATACCAGAATCTATGAATGCTACTTTATATGGCAAATTAAGAACCTTTGCTATCATAATTTGAATTAGCTCAATGCTAACAAGCTCCCCAAATCAAAGGCTGAACACCACCTGTCATGCGTGTGTGTTTGAAACTGACTGGTACATCACCCATGTTCTCTGCATGGTGAAAAAGTGATAAAAGATTAAATGCTAAGGACAATAACAGAACACAGAATCATTGTGAAAACTATCCAAAGACAGACACTAAAACTGGTCCTCTCTGCAAAAGCCCAATTTGACAGAACAGTAGCTAACCTTTGCAGGCAAATAAAACATGTCACTATAATTAAAACTTACTCAAATTGCTCTTTTGAAAATAAATATTTCTATATAACACACACACACACACACACACAGATTCCTTTTCACACTGCATTCACATTAAACAAAAATAAATTAGGGTCCTTAAAGGACATTTACTATATCAACGAACACTCACACAAGGAACAGAATGTGACTTACATAAATGAGATTTAAACACACTCTCTACTTCAGAAACATCTGCAGCTATCTTAAAAACAGTCCGAGTATATATTTTGATCTTTCACCAACAAAATACACTAAAGAATTCTATAAAAGTTCAAAGTATCTATAAGCAACAATGACTCAGAGTCTGAGATTGAGTTACATGACCTGTTCTCAGCAGTGCACCCTACATTTAAGAGGAGCTCATAAGGCAGTCAGTCTAGGGGAGGACAATAACACCCCAGAAAGGCCAGCAAAGATGAGGTGGATGGTAAGGTACAAAGAGGCAGCTTCTACAATACTTTAAGGGCTATTTCTGAATCTCTGTAGGCATGAGCCTTTTTGTTTGCTTGTTTAAGCATCTCTTCCTCTATATTCAATCTCTAAGTAAGAACCTTTCTCAGTTCTGATCTTTCTTGTCTTTACCTCTCTTTCTCAAGGGCCCCAAAAAACTAAACCCTAAAAGCAACCTGTCACCATGTATTCAGATATTTTGACAAAACTACAAACAAACAGGATATTGGATCAATATGGATTTTTTTTTCAATTGCCTGCAACAGGCAGAAAAGAGTATAAGGATACTATAGATGGCTCGAGGAGATTTTTAGAAGCTAACAGGGATTAAAATAGCTTTACAAGTAATTTAAAATCATTATCAAAAAAGACTATAAACTTGTGATTATAATCCTCCCTTTGGTAAGACTGTCACCAAATAATAAATTCCTAACCAATCAACAGAAATAAACAGACCGTCCCCTTTATCTGCAGTAGGATAGAAACAAGGCAGGTCAAACACCTTATTTACATGGAAGGAGTTTCCCATAGAGAAGACTGTCTTTGTATACCTGAAACCCAAGTTCGGCGCCTGATACAGAAAATATGCTCACATATTTACTGATATGGGAATAAATCTGACAGGGACAGACCCAGACAACGAAAAGCATGGGTTAAATCAGCTGGAATCAGTTTCTGCTGTTTGCACCCAGGAACCCTGACTGATAAGGAAAACAGTATGTGTCCTCATCCAGTCATATTCCCAGAGTGCTGCTGTGTCCTTTAGGGCAAGGCTGTCTGACTTTTTTCATGCCATAATTTATATGACAATGAGGACATCTGTTCAATGCAGGGAGAAAATGAGAACCACAGTTGGCCCCGAAGCTGGCCGAGGTGGTTCAGCAGCCTCAAGCCCTACTCAGCTGCTCCAAGGACCGAGAGGTCAACCTTTCTGCATCACCCTTGAAATTCTGGTTTCCAAGTTCTGCCTTAAGAGGATGCCAGTGACATTTACACAACCTTTCCAGTATCATCACTCTACAATTTATTCCTCACAGTTCTCACGGGAGGAGCATTCCCAAGCATGGGATCTTCAAGAATATTCAGAACAGCAATTCTGAAGCAGGAGAACCTGTCCAAGCATATCCATACTCACTATGGCCCAGGAGTATCTTTTGCTCTAAATCTGACCACAGAACAACTCAGAAAATTGCGGCTGAAAGGAAGACATCTTTCAGCTTTCAGATCTCTGTGGTTTCTGCAGTGGACTGTTACAGAAATAGCCGCCAATGAACCACAGCTCCGTGTCCGTGCCTCTCTGCAACGTGACTCTGCTGCTCCTGCCATCACAGGGGGAATCTGTGTCCCTCCTCCTGAACCCAGGCAGGCCTGGGATTTGCCCTTGCCGGTTCCACTCACACGCTCCTGCAGAGTTCCTGAGTCTAAACGGAAAGCAGGTCAGTCAGGCTTCCTGGACAATGAAGGGGCAATGGAGCGGGAGGCCTGAAGGCCCGGCCAGTCCAGCTAAGCTGAAGCAGCCCCAGCAGACCAAGGAGTTGAATGCAGACATGTGAGTAACAAACAGAATCATGAAGAATTAAACAGTTGGTGTTTTAAGCCACTACTCACATGCCAAAGGAGCTGGCAGAAATGGAAAGGTGATTGGATCAGTCTATCTGGAGGAAGCCCCCTGACACCACAGGGGACTCCCCAAAAACAAGGCCGGGAGTAGGTGGGAACCTTAACTACAACAGACAGAGCACTCCGATCATACCTCCAGGAATAATGGTGACTGATCTACAAGTATTCAGAGCAGCCCACCAGGGGTGGGGGAAAAGAACTGCCTTAAATGCTCATTTCTCCCTTGGCTCTGAGTAACCTCATTTGCAAAACAGAAAGAATATCCAGAGTAATTTTTCAAGTTATCTGTAATCACCAGAAAACAGGAAGACAATTCCAACTATGCAACCTCAAACAACTTCAGAAATGAGGAAATAA